CACACACACACACACACACACACACACACACACACACACACACACACACAGCAACAATACAACAGTAATATTTGCTGTCAGACAGGCTTGTCATCTCCCAAAGGAACTGGAGCTCTTAAGTGTTTATTAGGTGCCTCCCTGTGGCTGAGAAGTAAACTGAACTACACCAGTCTGTTCTATTTGCACTGCTTAGATCCCCCCCCCTCCCCGAATATATAAATAAAATGAGTATTAGTTGTCATTTCTCTCTTAAAATGTGGACACTAAATTGAAATCTCTTTTTCAAGAGAGACCTGACCAAGATGGAAGCACACCTAGAACAGCAATAAATAAATAAATAAATTCTTTATTTTGTGTAGTATTTTATTCTCCTAAATAACTTTCTGTATATTGTTTATGTGATCAAAATACACTGAAACAATCTTTACAAGTAAACATAACATTTTGATCATTAAGAAAAAAAACTAACTAATTAATTTAATTTAAGTGAAGATTTAAGAGCAATCACATGGGCCAAAAGTACTTTTTTATGAATTGATAATTCATAATAACCAGTTCTGATAATTTCAAGTTCTGGTACAACAAATTTTGATTGGATTTTATTTTGAAGCCATTAAAATGAGTAAATGATATTACAATTGTTCAAACACAGAATTACAACTATTTAAAATTTCCTTTTATTAGTTGTAAAATATGGAGATGTCATGAAAGGTTCAATAAGTCAGACAGGTTCAAGTATATATAAAGCTTCTTCAGTATGATTGATAAATTGACTAAAGGAAGAGGAAAAAATTCAATCTACATATAAAATTAGACCATTTAGACCATATAATTAGACATGTAGACGGTTGGTGTGACAGAGGAGGATGCTGGCGATAGGGTTAGATGGAGGCAGATGATCCGCTGTAATAACACATAAAGGGAACAGCTAAGAAGTCTGTACTGCAGTAAAGTCAATTCTAATTTTATACTAAACTTATACTATACAAATGCAGTGAATAATATTCTTGAATGTATTTATTTGTCCGAAGCTAAACCTGATGCATATTACACCTGGTACACAAGAACTCATACCTTATTACACTATTTGTGGTGCTGCAGGTATCCAAGCCAAAGGACGGTCAGGACATGAGTCTGAAGCTGGTGCTGAACAGTGAGAGCAGCACTGCCAGGCCTGTGTTCATCAAAATCAGCATCCAGGCCATGAGATACAATGGCTCACCGGTTGAAAACATCCAGAGTGAGGTGAAGGAAGGGACACTGCTGCCTGGGAAAGGTGGGTCTCTGGACACAAGTACTTTGTTTAATTCTTAGACTAGACATAGCTCAATACCAGATTGACAGTGAAACGTGAAAATGAATCCATCTGTAGGTCATATGAGAGACTGCAACAATTATGAACCTCTCTCTCTATCTGCCCCAGATCTGTCCATCCCTTTTTTATTCCCCTTCTTGGTGTACCATGAGCACATGGTGGACTGTGAGAGCATGAAGATTTCAGCTATGGTCGCAGATAAGCTGGAGCCGAAAAATGTCTACCTAGCAGTGAATGATGTCATTCTGTTGGATCCTCCAATCTCCATCACATAGCTGTCACATAAGCTCATTGCTGCTGGTATCTCCTGTTTTACTTGGTTTAATGCTAAATATAAAGATAAATATATAATATAATATACAGAAATATAAAGTAAAAGTCTACAGTTATGCCAGCAGCTGCTTGAGGCTGTTCTTGGGTTTAGCAGTACTTTAAGCAAATAATACATAAATAACTATATTTGGTATGTTAATTTTTCCCAATGAGAATGTATTGATGAGAAGCAGAATTTACTCTGACGCGATCATCATCTTCTCGTGTGTTAGAAGAATAAAGGCTTATAAACAAAAACAAAAAAATGTGTCACTCCTGATGGACGTGCATTTGAATGTAATTGGGTATTTAGTGTTTTAATGTCCACCAGTGTCCACGTTTATCCATTAAGGATGGGACATTTCAATTTCAATGAGTAAATCCGTAAAAAGTAACTCTAAAAATACTTTAGTAGCTTTAAAAAGCAATGTGATAAGAGATTAATAAGAGATGTTTTTTTCTTTACTTTCATTTAGTGATTTTCCAGAAGAAACTTTTTTGAGACTGGCTCCAAAAGGGAGTCTATCCAAACAGACTACTGTGTTAAATTGTCTGTATCATTGTGGGGTCTTTACCTTATAATGTAAAGTGCCTTTAGACAGCTGTTGTTGTGTTTCATGTGTAAAAAGCACTAATTATACTATTACTGGTTTATTATAATCACTGTTTTTGTTTGTTTTGTTTAATTGCATTAATGGTTAAAGCACTGTTGGATGCAGATCTGTTCAGGTGTGACCTCGCACCACAGGCTTGTGCTTCTGGACAGAAAGTGCATCATTGCTGTTTCACAAAAATGTCTAATTTATTTGTATTATATGTCATCATTGGCACCATGTACACTGTTATAAAAGCTCTCACTACTGTTTTAAGCTGTTACTTACAGCAATGCTAATGTCAAAACTAAAGTTTGCATAACATAAAGAATGTGGCTAAACCTGATATACAGACAGCAAACTGAAAAACAGACAGACACACACACACAACACACACACACACACACACACACACACACACACACCCACACACACACACACACACACACACACACACGCAGTGCACACACACACACACACACACACACACACAACATACAACAGTAATATTTGCTGTCAGACAGGCTTGTCATCTCCCAAAGGAACTGGAGCTCTTAAGTGTTTATTAGGTGCCTCCCTGTGGCTGAGAAGTAAACTGAACTATACCAGTCTGTTCTATTTGCACTGCTTAGATTCCCCCCACCCCAATATATAAATAAAATGAGTATTAGTTGTCATTTCTCTCTTAAAATGTGGACACTAAATTGAAATCTCTTTTTCAAGAGAGACCTGACCAAGATGGAAGCACACCTAGAACAGCAATAAATAAATAAATAAATTCTTTATTTTGTGTAGTATTTTATTCTCCTAAATAACTTTCTGTATATTGTTTATGTGATCAAAATACACTGAAACAATCTTTACAAGTAAACATAACATTTTGATCATTAAGAAAAAAAACTAACTAATTAATTTAATTTAAGTGAAGATTTAAGAGCAATCACATGGGCCAAAAGTACTTTTTTATGAATTGATAATTCATAATAACCAGTTCTGATAATTTCAAGTTCTGGTACAAGAAATTTTGATTGGATTTTATTTTGAAGCCATTAAAATGAGTAAATGATATTACAATTGTTCAAACACAGAATTACAACTATTTAAAATTTCCTTTTATTAGTTGTAAAATATGGAGATGTCATGAAAGGTTCAATAAGTCAGACAGGTTCAAGTATATATAAAGCTTCTTCAGTATGATTGATAAATTGACTAAAGGAAGAGGAAAAAATTCAATCTACATATATAATTAGACCATTTAGACCATATAATTAGACATGTAGACGGTTGGTGTGACAGAGGAGGATGCTGGCGATAGGGTTAGATGGAGGCAGATGATCCGCTGTAATAACACATAAAGGGAGCAGCTAAGAAGTCTGTACTGCAGTAAAGTCAATTCTAATTTTATACTAAACTTATACTATACAAATGCAGTGAATAATATTCTTGAATGTATTTATTTGTCCAATTATATTGCAAAAAATTAAGAAAGCTATGTTTATGCCTAAACTGATGTTGCCTTACATAAATAGAATGATTTCCAGTTTTTACCTCACATTCAAGTACAGCTTTATTATTTAACACTGGTATCAGTAGATATCTGAATCCAAGCCCATTATCTATTCATGATTTGAATCCTGGGTTGTGCGAAATCCTAGAAATACACCTTAGGCTACGTCCACACGTACACGGGTATTTTTGAAAACGGAGATTTTCTGTTTTTGTTTAAAAGAAATAATCCCGTCCACACGTAAACGCAGAAATGAAGGAAAACGCTGCTAGGAACATGCCAAAGCAACAGGTGGCGATATATTCCAAACCGTGTAGAAATGTTGGCCAATCAGAAGGCTAGAAGCCTCGGTGGGAAATAGTAAACAAGGATGGGCATAGAAGCAGAACCGAGTCATATGTGTGGAGGGACAGTAGCTGTGTGTGTATATGTAAGCATTTAAACACTGCAGAGCGTAAAGTTAACAGTAACAGTATTGTAGAAATTCATTGCACCGAAACAATAACGTGGCGCACAGTGTGACGT